TATATATATATATATATATCAGGAGATTAAAAAAAAACATGCTGTGGTTAGGTGACAGCAATAATCCATCTGGTAGCCAGTTTCAAATAAAATGTGTTAACTGATTGTGCAGCATTAAGCTCAAATAAGGTCCCTGTTTGGCACCAAAGGCTGAAGAAAGAAGTTAATTTTCAAATGTTTCTTTGCCATCTGAGAAAGGCCAGAGCATTCTTGCACGAAATGCCAGAACTAGACACCTTTCCCCCACAGGTTTTGAATGAAAAACCCAACCTTATTCCTTTGCTTTCTTCTGCACTGTGTCTCTTGAGAGGGGATCAAAATGTTTACATGCTACAATGCACATTTGGTTTGTTGGGGGAAATGCCCTTAACTGATAAGTGGCTTTAACTAGCCAATGATGCTCAATTTCATTTGATACTTGACCCTAAACTTAGGGGAAAAAAAATCTTGGTCATTACAAAAGTAAGAGTGGAAGCTTCTTAGAAAATTAGAAAGTAATAAGATTAGACCAACCGTGGATTCATTTGGGAGTGATTGGATAATACAGGCAAATCTGTGTTTCTTTTCTTGACAGAAGAATTGATTTAATGTGTGTACCATCCATCTGTGAAATCCATCAAGGGGTCACCATGAACTATCTTATTTTAAGTGTGCTTTGCAATATGGCAACAATTTCCTCTTCCCTGGCGTAAGGAGAGTACCAAGCCAGTCTGCTGCTGTAGTTAAATCTCCTTTCCATTACAACAGGCAGTTTGCTTCTGCAGGGCTGGTCTTGGGCCTCCACCAGCAAAACTTGGCCACAGGAACCAAGTCCAGCAGAAACAAAACAAATGATGAAGAATTTGTAAATCCAGCCTGGACACCTGCTACATATATAGATCTCCAACTTCTCTGGTGCCGTTAGGGACTTTATTTGGCATCCTATGGGTAGATCTTTTTTAAAAAATCTGACTCATACTTGAGAGCTTAGTCCTTGGAAGACGTTTGTAATTCTAGAACTTGTTCTATTTTGTTAATTGCCCCTGAAAAATAAATAGTTAAATATGGTAATGGGGTTGTTCCCTTCCCACCCACATTTTTCTTAGGACCATTTGCAAAAATTCTTTTGAATGGCTAGTATTCTTTGGATGGAGAAAAGTTTCTTTTGGATATCATGTTTTTACAGTCAATTGCTGGTTTTGCACCTGCTTTCCCACCAGACTTACAGCCCCCATTGCTCCCACTGCTGACTTTTATGCTTGTATTTGTGCTTCCCTAATTACTGTTTAACATGTACACGTATATGTGCATACACAGAGAGAGAGAGAGAGACATGCACACTCCCCTGGAAGAAACTGATTGCCTTGGACTTTCCATGGCTGTGGCTGTCATTTCTCTGCTGTGCTGTTGACCAAAGATGCTGAGATATTATCTTGTTATTCCACCCAAAAGACTTTTTTTGTGGGGAGGGCAGGATGCATTGTTTTCTTGCTTTTTACTGCTCGTTGCGTGACCTGCTTAATAATTTGTTGTGCCCTTTGTGAGCATGAAACCGGATGAGAAGCAAGTTTAGATAGTATCCACTTGATATGTGCAGTGATCCTTCTGTGAATACCCTCTGAGCAGTTCCTGGAAATCATCAAAAGACAGAGAAGGTTTAGGTTTAGACTCCCATTTGCTCTGATAATGGTGTTCTGTTTACAATTCCAGAGATAAAAACTACTGTGGTGTACCCAGCAACCGAAAAACATCTTCAAAAATACTTGTGCCAGGCAGTGTATCTCATCCAGGAGACTGGGGAGGATTATAAGAACATCACTCTGCCTTTCATCGAATCACAGAGTTTCAGCATTCAGGTATGGAATGTTATTCCTTGTTATGAATATGTCTCCAGAAAGAACATGGCTTAGGCCCAAATAGGTAATACTGGCATACCCAAGATCTTGGGGTATGCTCAAGATTCTTCCCTACTCAGAGTTGCTCCCAGGACCTAAGGCTGTCTAATCTGGGCTGCAGAAATCCAGACAACTGCTAAATGGTAAAAAAGAGAAACAGTTTTCTGTATTTCTTTGCTGCCAGCTAGTCATTGTTCAGATTTTGGCAGCCCAGATCTGTTAACTCCACCTGTACTCCAGGACACTATCAAAAACATTTATTTAATAAGAGAATTGGGTAACTGTTGTTCAGGAATCAGAAACTGGAATTCCAGCCTGGGAGGGGGGCGGCAAACTTCTTTGAACTGCACAGCTTTTTGAATATAAAGGGGACCTTAGCTGATTGTAGCAGATAGCCTTTTTCTCTTCTGACATTGTCTTTTCAGAAAAGCTTTGCGCTTCAGACTTTCAGAGGAATAATTGTTAGTGCCAAACAAGATTTAGCAAGCTGTTTTGGCTTTTCTGTTGTTACCGTAGGATGTAATTTCATTCTGCTTCTCGGAGAGCTTGGCTTTTTTCCCAGGACGTCACCTCTGTGGCCTCCCTCCTAGCTATGACATCACTGGCAGATACTGAATGAGAAATAGTTGGGTGAGGGTTTTTCATATTTATTCTGACAATGCCATGCTCCTTTTCCAGCTCAAAAAACACATTTCCGTTTCTGGAACAGTTGTGTATGAGATGAGGCCCTCAAGCTGTGTGCTGCCCTCAAAAGCTCAGGGGTGGCCCCTAAAGCCACTCTAGAAGGTGTCATGGACTTGTAATATTTAATGCAATACAAGAGGACAATATTAAAATTACACTGGGAGTAACATTAGTTATTTTTTAAAATTTCCTTTAAATTAAAGTTAAGTTTTGTCCTGGCTCGGCCTATTCCTTTGTCTTGGCTCATTATGTATTTTGTAAGGTGTGGCCCCGGCATGCCACTCAAAAACAGACTGAAAGTTGGGGGAGTATAAGAGGGACCAAGGAGGAAGCAGTTACTGCGGGGGGAAGGAAGAGTAACAAGGGCTGACATTGAGCAGTAACACATATTTACAGAGCAATATTACAGAAGCAGCACTGTTTTGTTTAATCGAATTTACTCCCAGATAAGAAGAAACAGGACTGCAATGCCGGAGTTTATTTTATTTGGAGAAGGACTAAGGACCTTGACAAAAAGACATTGCCTTTGGTGGTTTATGGAGAGAGCTGGGATTTAGTCCTCTAGGACAATGGAGATAGGACTCACCCTTCTTCTCCTAAATTCTGACCCCAAGATCATCTGGCTTCTTCACTAGAGATGTGTGTGGGAAATCTGCTTGTTGCCCTGATCTTTAATACACGTGTTCAACTAGAGAGTAATGATTTTTAGTGTGTACGAACCTGGGCAAGTCATTATTACCAAGGCTTCACATGGGGGCAGTATAATGGTCGGTTGGCCTTTTCTTATCCTTGCAAGTGGTTTGGTGTCTTTTTTTTACTTTAAAAATACATAAACATTTGAGTTGTACAGGAATGAAAGATGATTCTCCTGGCTGATTGCACAAAGCGAGAGATCGTTGTTTTGGAAATACCACAGGACACTTGACATTATGTTTAATTAATTAGCTAATACTGGGGCAAGAGTTTTTGATGAAGGGCTTCACATTTTAGGTGGCATGGTAATTGATGGGGGCTCAATTTGTTTAGCAAGTGCTACACAAAAATAACGATTTCTAGTTAATGTTATGTTGTGCTTGGCAATTGCTGCTACGTTTCTCTCACTTCCCGCTAACATTGTCTAACTCAGCCCTGCAGGTTTCTTTCATAACCTATTTCAGAAGAACCCTGCCACCTGCTGCTTTTTCAGACACAAACAATTATTGGTTGTTTGATACAAGAGATCTAGGCCTGTCACCTTCACTATATGCTTCTTGTATGGAGATCCTGTACTTTTCCTTCAAATAAGATGCACTCATTTATCACTGGGGAAAACATTCTGCTTTCTCTCAACTATCTACACCTTTAGGTTGTCTACTCCCTTGGGCTGTAGAATTAGAGCAAACAATTCTGTTTCCTTTAGTCAATTTCTGATTATCATGACATGCAATGGCCACTACCATTATCTGGGATGCAGAAATCCAGATTACCAGCAGATGGCAGCAGAGTGATTTGGAAATCTGTTGGTCATCCAGATTTTTGGAGCCTAGATAATGGTAGCTCTAGAGTGACTGCTTAAGAAGCTTAAATATCCAGTGTTTCTGGTTGAACTACTTTGAGTTTGTTTGAAATCATGATTAATGGTTTGTATATAACTTGAAGTAAGGCAGATGAGATGAATAGAAAAAGTGCATTTTCTGTTGGATCACCATCTGAATTCTTTTTTTTTAAGCTGCACAGAATTCTTTTTTAGGCAATCCTCTCCTTGGAAAAAAAATAGAATTTCATTTCATTTGATGTGTGAGAATCGAGCAGAACAGCAAGGCTTTAGCAGAGGTTCACAGAGTGCAGCCCTATTTGGTCTTTTTGTACAGTCAAATGTGTCATTTTGATATGTTTGTAATTATTTACAGCTGCAAAAGTCTGGCCTTTTTCTTTTTCTTGTATCTGGCAGCAGGATTTGCTTTGCAAGCTCCAAACTTGCCTTGATTTCTTCTTTGTTTAACAATAAAATGAAATAAAACAAAATACTGCCTCCAGCAAAAATAGTCCCTAGGCGTGATACAGCCCAGCTGACATTTGATTTTGATAAAGGGCATTTGTTGGGCAAAGCACATCCGTCTACTCAAACACTGGACCTTGTGTCCTCTTTAAAATACTTCCATCCTATATTTTAAGTCATGAGACTGGAATAGCTTTTCAGTGTGTTCCACGTGGGCAGACACATGCAGAAATATCTTGCACACCCTGGCGTTCAGTTGCAAGTCTTGTTCAGTGGAAGAACAACGGTGACCAAAATGGTGGTTTCAGATGATCAAGTACAGCAGCTTCTGGGAAACTAAATTTCTAAACTCTTCCTTCCAAGGGCTCCTCACATCAGAAGGTGCCCTTCAGGAGGCCCGAATCGTGCTGAGCGTCAGCAGATCACAACCTTTTATTATTTATTTATTTATTTTACAGTGCTCATAAGCTAATCCATTTGAAGCTGACTAAAGAAAGTCCCATTGTTTTGAAAAGGTATACCTGGTAGTGCATGACTCAACCTGGCATTAAGTTGGTGGTTGCTGACCTAAAGTCTCCCCAGTTGGTGCTGTTGCCTTGCTATACTGAATTCTGTATAGATATTAGCAAAGAATAAGGGGGCGTTGCATGCTTAAAGAGCTTTGTAATCTGTAGTATTTCATACGTTATTTCTTTTCTTTCCCCTTCTCCCCAAACTATATTTAAGCAGTTTTTCTTCATTGCAGTCAAAACCCATTCTAGTTTTTATGGTGGAGAGGGAGTTGTGCAATTGTTTTTTTGGAAGTGTTGCCATTTTATTTAAAAATGGTCTAAGCGTTTATTAAATTGAGTATTTTGCTTTCAGAAGTGGCAGGATATGTTCCATTTTGGAGGGAAAAAAAGCGCATCTTTTAAATCATCTGTCTGGGAATGCAGTGAGGATGAAGATGAAAATAATTCCATTGCCTCTTCAAGATTGACCTCAGCCCTGACACACAATATTTGATTGTTTTCAGGTCAATGAACTGTAGCTTGCATTAGTTAGGAAATCATTTTGTTCTTTGGGGAATCTAAGTGACATTTTATATTTCAGAACCGAAAATGAAATTTCTGTGAGCAAAGAACAAAAGAAGATAACAGCCTGGGTTGGAGATATGCACTGGATGATATTAATCTAATTTATCTGTTCTAGTGGGTCTACAACATCCTGGAGAAGAAGGCTGAGGTTGATCGAATTATCTATGAAAATCCAGATCCCATCAATGGTTTTGTTCTCCTTCCAGACTTTAAATGGAATCAAAAACAGGTCAGGTAAAAATATTCTTTGAAGGAGGAGTTGCTGTTTTACAAGTAAGACAGACTCTTAGATAATTTGGTTGCTTTTTCTGTTACAGGCAGACCTCAGAAAATGTTCAACCCTCTCACATCCTTTTTTGTTGCTTGATAAAATGAAAGTCACCTTGGTTGGGTTACACGTTGTACAACACCACAATTTCTTTTAACATGGTTTGTTGAAGAAGCCACAATGGGTTTAGAACAATGTGTGAAACCGGTTACAGGCAGTCCCCGGGTTAAGAACAAGTTCTGTTCCTAAGCCTGTCTTTAACTCAAATTTGTAGGTAAGTCACAACTTGTACTTACAAACGGGCTGCTTATTACTAAAAAGGGCAGATGGCGTTCTCCTTCCTCGAGCCAACTAACCGCTGAAGCCACACAATGTTTTCATGAACTGCTGAAAACTGCTAAAAAGAGGCTGTATATTAAAAACGCATGGCTTCAGCGGTTCATGAAAACATTGCACGGCTTCAGTGGTTTGTCGGATTGAAGAAGGAGAACACCGTCCACCTTTTTTAGTAACAGGCGGCCTGTTCATAAGAATGAGTTGTCCGTAAGTCGGACGTTCTTAACCCGGGGACCACCTGTACTTTCTCCATATCCTGTCTACAAAAGCCTCTGGGGGACGAAGCAGTGCTGATGTGCCTGAAGAGTCACTGAAATGGTTCTAAGCATACAGTAATGCCAACCCGTGGTACAGCACACAAGATTTTGACATTTCTAGGTTAATAAATGTAACTAACATGAGATAAAACTGGAGAGTTGTTGGAATGCCTTGAAAGAAGTTATCAGCCCTGCTTTAAGCACCTTATGGCGAAAACCAAGACAGTGACTAAAATTAGAAACTAGAAATTCTTAGTACTCTGTAAGGAATGTAACATTTCGTTTTTACTCATCTTGCACCAACCTCTCTTGGTGATTAGGTTAGTAAAATCCTTTTCATTTGACCTTCAAGCTGCCCTTTTTAATTCACCGAATAAATACCTTGTTCCCCTAGCAACTGGACCCCTTGCTTTAAGATTTGATACAAAAGAGCAGGTGCCTGAAAAATGTTTGCATGTTCAGAAATTTGAACCAGCCATTTTAAAAAGTCATTTATAAAAATAGTTCATCGTAACCGAGCTTTGCGTTTTACATTTCTTTGACAGTGAAGTTAACAAAGATCTTTGACAGACTATATATGACCTTGACAGTCATAAACTTTTAGAACTGTGACTTTTTCTTGCTGTTGAAAAAAAAAACCTCCAACTTTTTATGTTGCTCCCCAAATACAGTCCCTTTGGGGTATTGGGGCTATTTCTCTACACTTATTTATTTATTAAATATATATACTGTCCAGGAACTCTGATTATTCCATACGTGGGTTTACTATTATAATATGTTTTTTACCTCCTTGTGTTGTGTTCACCCTTTTGTGAACTCTGGCTAATGGCTTATTGTGTGGTGTTAACCCAGTCATCTGTGGCTTATTCAAACCTTGGTTAAACAAACCATGGTTTATGTGTCACCTCCTGAATTGAAAGAGCGATGGTATATTTTAATCATAGATGTTCTTGGTTGTCGCTCTGTATTTTTTAATCTAATTTCAATAAATACCAGCTGTGCGTTTTTTATGTGTGTTACTTTCGGAAGGCATTTTCTGGTTTGTGACGTCATGATGAGATTTCAGCTCATCTATATTTTGAATATGCATTAACTTTATGCCTTTGATAGAGCTTCCTTTTCTGAACAGGACAGACATCTGAAAATCTAGCTCGGCAGTCTAAAGATAAAAGTTCCTCTTCAAATTTCCCATTGTCGAGATCCGATTTCAAAATCAGTGCAATGAAATGGATTTATTTGTTGGCCAGAGGGGGCGCTATTCCTGGTGTGTGAGTCCAATGAACACACACGGGTTGGAGCGAAAGAAATCTTTTTAT